ACACTTTATTAATGGGAGCCTAGAGGATACAATAAAGATTAAGATTAGATTAGATTAAAGATTAAATAAAATAATGAACAATAATGATTATGATGATAAAAGGTGACTCATTGAAAAAAAAAAGGTTACTCACAGCAAGTAGAATCAGGAAGAAGGTGCTCTTCGTCATTCTGCTGCGCTCCTGTTTGCAAGCACTCTCCAAATGTCAGATCGGCACCTGTGGCAATTACCTTAACTGGGATTACATGTAAAGCGAGGCAGCATTACACACCTTTTGTGTACTTTTTCCGCATCTATGAGGATGTGCGTGTGTTTATGTGTGTGTGTAAACAGTGCCTATGAATGCAATGAGCCATCAGTACGAAAACCCTTCAGGGCAGCAGCCTGGGAGTGGCTAAAGCTATACATAGCGAACAGCGAGTGAGGTTTCACTTCTTTTTCCCTTCAGCTAAAAGTGGACAAACAGGCTGCTCAGCTTGCCATCTGCCAAGTGAAAAAGGAGCACTTTTGGCAGTAAGCCTGTTTAATGTATGTGCAGTTCAAACATTCAACCCTGCTGCATATATGCAACTGACATAACCACCACCAGTCTGTTTCAGGCCTGGGCTTGTATTTACTAATAAACTTATCTGAAAAGGCCAGTGAACTACATGTCAAGGCACATGCTGTGATAGGCAGGATGCGAAAAGTGGTCTGAAAATGGGCCTGTGAAACCCAATGGGGATGTTAATTAACGGAATAGTTTACTCAAAAGTGAACTTTTGCTGAAAATGTACTCATCCTCATTCAAGATGTAGATGAGTTTGTTTCTTCATCAGATTTGGAGAAATGTAGCATTGCATCACTTGCTCAGCAGTGAATGGGTGCCGTCAGAATGAGAGTCCAAACAGCTGATAAAAACATCACAATAATCCACAAGTAATCCACACCACTCCAGTCCATCAATTAACATCTGGAGAAGTGAAAAACTGCATGTTTGTAAGAAACAAATCTTTCATTAAGACATTTGTAACTCTATTCCTCTATCCAGAATATTGCTTTCTCCAGTGAAAAGGTCATCTTGTCTGAACAGGAGATGGACTTTTTCACTGGAGTAAGCGTTATTATGGCTTATGGCCAGAAGCGACAGTTAGAAGTAAAAACGTCTTGATTATGGATTTGTTTCTTACAAACACACAACAAATCAACAAATTTTCATTTTGGGGGAACTATAAAATAATAACAAGGGAAAACATTTACTCTGCAGTGAGAAGTGTCCATGTCTATAGCACAGGGATGGGCAACTTCGGTCCTGGAGGGCCAGTGTGCTGCAGAGTTTAGCTGCAACCCTAATCAAACACACCTGAACAAGTTTATCAATGTCTTCAAGATCACTAGAAAAGGTGTGTTGAATCCATATCATAATTACCGTGATTACGAGATACCAACTTGTAAAAAGTGTTCACGTCCTCGTAAAACTCGTAATTACGACTTGTGAATTGGGAGTTAGTTAGTTAGTTATTTAGATAGTTCCAAGTCCGAGGATGCGAACAGCTCCAAGTAGAACATCACATGTTGTCACCTCAAAATCACAGTAATTACGACATGGCGTGAATGCAGCAAAAGCTACGTGCAGGTGTGTTTGATTAGGGTTGGAGTTCAACTCTGCGAGACAGTGGCCCTCCAGGACTGAAGTTGCCCGGCCCTGCTATAGCCTAAGACAGTAGTTCTCAACGAGGGGGCCGGGACCCATGTACTAGGGAGCCTCTGAAAACTTTTAAGGGGGCCTTAAGATGACTTAAAATGACTTAAAACAAAGACAAGCATTAAAATAAGCTAAAACAAGTCAAAGTTATTTTAATTCACCCCCCCAGCAACTGTTTGCCCCATTTTTGAATAATTATAAAAGTGTGAATTCTAAATCTAGAAAAATCTAAATAAAATTGTCATGGACATTTTATATGTTTTATGAGTACTTATTTTTATGATATTTGTTTTAGTTATGCCAAGCTCTAAAATATTTTATAAGGTAGAAATCAAGTTAAATTTTATCCTTATCCAATATATCGCAAACAAGTTGAAAAATAGGCCTTTGAATATTGTTGTGGACAAAGGGAAGCCTTGAAAAAAAGGTTGAAAGAAAAGAAAAAAACCTAAGGTAAAAATATGACTGTATTTTCTGATCACATTTGTTTCATATTTAAAATTCTAAATCTAGAAAAATCTAAATAAAATCGTCATGGACATTTTATATGTTTTATGAGTACTTATTTTTATGATATTTGTTTTAGTTATGCCAAGCTGTAAAATATTTTATAAGGTAGAAATCAAGTTAAATTTTATCCTTATCCAATATATCGCAAACAAGTTGAAAAATAGGCCTTTGAATATTGTTGTGGACAAAGGGAAGCCTTGAAAAAAAGGTTGAAAGAAAAGAAAAAAACCTAGGGTAAAAATATGACTGTATTTTCTGATCACATTTGTTTCATATTTAGGCTACGTTTACATGACAACGGTGTAGTTAGGGTTAGGGTTAGGAAAAGTTTTTCCCTTGCGTTTTTAAAACGTTTTTTACACGACAACGTTTTCAAAACGATTCGTGTTTACACATATCTGCGAAAACGGCCAAAAGCGCTGTATTACGAGTTAGTTACTATGACTTTTCTAACTGATTCGACTTCTGGTTTTCGTAAACCAGACTATCCAATCCACCAGAAATCCCATAGACTTTCATTGAGAGGGTTCAAACCTCTGTACAGCGAGACCTATGGTGTATTTAAGCTGTCTATTTCTATAGCAAAGCTTAACAACTCCCTACTGAAAAAAACAGCTAAAACCAGTCTAAGCTGGTGGGATGCTTTGGCTGGTCTCCCATGCAGGCTGGTCTTAGCTGGTCAAGCTGGGAGACCTGCTAAAAGAACAACCAAGTTTAAACCAGCTACTAGCCTAGGCTGGTTTTAGCTGGTTTTTAGCTGGCTTTTTGCTAGATCAGCTGGTTTTAGCTGGTTTCTAGCTGCTTTTTTCAGCTGTTTTTTCCCCATTCATGTTAGCAATATGTTAAAGGTGACCTATTATGCAAAAATCACTTTTATAAGGTGTTTAAACACAGTTGTGTGGCCGCAGTGTGTGAAAACAACCAGCCTGTAATGGTAGAAATCCACCCACTCATTTTTTTATAATCCCAATAAATCATAAACTGTCTCTCCCTATATTGACGTCATACTAGTGAAAAGTCCTGCCCATTTGTGACGATATCTGCCCTATTAGCATAGACACAGCCCTGAGCGAGAAGCTGCAGTCCGCCATTACTGTTTTCTTGCTGTAGCTGCTGGAGACACAATGCCAGTGCCAAAAAGCCATTGCAAGTGTTGTGTTTCGGGGTGCACCAACGAACATATAAGTCTCCATAGACCGCTGAGGACACGTTGGTTAAATTTCATTTTCGAAGGAAATGTCTATTAAAAAAAACAAAAAAGTCCTATATGTTTGTGCTAATCATTTTACGCCGGACTGCCTCACAAACGAGGGTCAGTTCAGCGCTGGAGTTGTGCAAAGATTGCTTCTGAAAGAGGGATCGATACCAACGCTTCATGCAAGAACGTCAGCTCCAGACAAAGTAAGGATCACGCGTCATATTTTGTTTTCCAAAAGAGCTTCTTGGCTCTCTACAAGGCTAATGTTGCTAAAGCTACCACTGTCTCTGCCTGTTTTCACTGATGCTGCCTTCACGTGGTACTAGAATGATCGTAAATAGAATTGTGATAGTTAAAAATTGCATATGAAAGCAATGCGAAGTCGACCGCTTGAATTTGCTGAGCTCATAATGTGATAGCACGCGAAGGCACCATGAGATCAGCTATGTCGTTATTTTTATCGCGCCATGCTCCCTGTCTGTGTAATTCATAAATGTGCATTTACTGCAAAGTACAATCAGATTGTGTGATATATTGTTCTGTTTTGTTGTTGCCGGTGTTGTGCCCAGTTCTTACTCCCTGCCAGATTATTATTTCCTAGTATTGGTAGGTTTAAGATTAGGTGTGGGGGAGGGGTTAGGATTAGGGATGGGTTAGGATTAGGCAATCAGGTAGCGGCTGCAACGAGGAGGGTAATAATTTGACAGGGGGTCGAAATTGGGCACAACACCGGTATGCCGGAGCATGAGATCTTGAAACTCCATCCTCTTCTGAAAAGGAAGGCGGGAGCACCAGCTCATTTGCATTTAAAGGAACAAACACAAAAACAGCGCATTTTGGCTCATACCCTAAAAGACAAGTAGCATGCTAGCAACATGCTAGTAACATGCTAATAATGCTAGAAACACGCTAGTAATTTGCTAATCATGCTAACAACATGCTAGCATCGTGCTAACAACATGCTAGTAACATATTAATAATGCTAACAATATGTTAGCAATATGCTAGTAACTTGCTAATCATGCAAACAACATTCAGACTTTAATCTTTCAAATTGTTTTAAACTGAAAACTGTCAAACATTTACAACTTTTAAAAAACTTTCTGGTCTGGCTTTCTCAAGCCAACTTCAAAGTTTGTCTACAAACTTTACTATCTAGTTGTAATTAAAGTACTAATTAATTTGTCAATCAAAATATGTCATGAAAAAGTATAGCATTCTAGGATATTGTGGTAAGAGACGAATGCATCTAATAGTGATATAAAAAGGGTTAAATGATTTAAAGGGTTAAATGATTACTTAAAGGGATAGTTCACCTGAAAAAGAACATTTTGTCATCATTTACTCACCCCAAAGTTGTTCCAAACCTAGGCCTATATGATTTCTTTATGTTGAACACAAAAGAATATATATTTTTTTAAATGTTGGTAACCTAACTGGTTTCAGTAGCCATTGACTTCCATTGTATTTTTTGCATACTATGGAAGTCAATGGAATCAGCAACTGTTTGGTTACCAACATTCTTCAAAATATCTTCTTTTTCAACAGAAGAAAGAAATTCATACAGGATTGGAACAATTTGAGGTTGTGAAAATGATGACAGAATGTTCATTTTTGAACTATCCCTTCAAGGAATGTAGCCTGGTGAGGGGTAAACAGATGGCATTAGATGAGACTAGTTTTTGCAAATGTAAATATACAGTACCGGTAAATCTGCTGAGTGTCTCAAAGTGTTGCTAGAGAAAGATATTGAGTCATTTAAGTTATGCAAGTGATAAAAAATTCACCTCCACAACGCTATTGTGAGATGGTGATGTTGTTGTACTATATTGCTTAAGTCTTCTAAA